TTTTTTGAGGAGCGATTAAGAATTCAACAAGAGCAGTAAGTGATCGAGTCAAACGGTAGATTTCAATTACAGTATATGCGCAATTGGACGAGCGATTTTGAGTGCATGAATAATCTTTCGAGAGGAAGCAAAAATGGTGAAAGTATGCGTAAACATGGCAATCGTACACACTTGTCTCTACTTGTAAACGTTTCAATGTGTGGTATTTATCACCGAAACAAGATGAGATCGCACTTAATAAATTAACTAAAATTCATTGAGCGAGCCATCCACCGTTCATTTAAGCGATTCGATAGATTAAATGTAGACCCGAATCTGTTTCCACGATATCGCTTAGTTCACCAACCTGAAGTTTTAATGGTAAAGTGAACAACTTCACTGAAAAGAGAAGAACTGAAGATACACATATTGGTTAATCATTCCAATGAATCATTCAGTTTTCTAACGGTTTTTGACAAAAATAATCTTAAACGATCTTTTTTCACTTGGCCATCTTCTGATTCACAGTTTCAGACTCAAACCTTAAGTGCAAACGAAGCATCTTCAAACGGCTTTTGCATCTGTCTACGTTTGAACATTCCCAAGTCACCACCACGCTTCGCTGATGAACAATCACTGAACTCTTTGGCCAATTCTTTGAATTTTGCCTTTTTATCGGACGCATCCTCGATTTGTTTCTTATAACCTGCAAGACAACAATATGAATGATGCTAACCCTGATCAGAGCACAACACCAATAAATATAATACAGACCCATCAAAATTTTACGAGCCTGCTCTTTGGTACGTGTGATTACATCGGTTCGCCACGATGATGGACGTCGTGAACCTGCGTGTTTCACTAACAGATGAGCGCATTGCACCTCAAAGATGCACATTTTAGAGAATCAGATACGTTCACAGATCATTGGGTCAGAAAACTACTTGATTCCGTACAAATTTTGAACTCATTCGCACATCAATTGATCCAAATTAAATTAAAGTAAGTCCAAAGAGCAATGTAAACTGTCAAGAACTAGACCATTTCAATGAATAAGTACACCTGTGTAATTGTTAATGACTAGGAAAGCAAGTGAAAATCATCAAAATAAGCCGATGAATGAGAATTACCGCAGTTAATTCGGCCTGAGCCGGGTCTGCAGCTCTCGTCGGTCGTTCCCACTGACTGCGACCCGTATAAACGTTGAAATAATAATATTGATCTGAATATTGATATAAAATCAAATTGTAATATTTCAATTGAGATAGTAGTGAAAAGCAAAAGGAGCAATGCCCAAGACAGGAATCGAACCTGTGTCGCCACGGCCACAACGTGGAGTACTAACCACTA